GGTTGAGTGGTTTCAATTGTTACAAGTAGTATTTTGAACAGAGATATCAGACACAATTAGCAAACTGAAAGTTTGCCACTGCAATGTGTTTATTAAAGAATATTGTGTTACCTATATTGCATATTATAGTGTTTTCTGAAACTCTTACCCCGTTATGAATTAGTTATCACTTGTTGAGTCAGTGAACTCATTCCTTACTTTTATGTCTACAGATACAAGTGTTCATTCCTATACCGAGACTTGAGCTAGTGTACTTCAGTGCTGAGCCGCACGTTTCCTTCCATGGGTGATGCTGGTTCCACTTCCTCTTTTTCTGTTGTTATGTTTCAGTTACACAGTTATTGAAAACTCTTAGTTGTATTGATCCGCGAACCTTATGGGTGGTTGTAACTTTGTAATGCGGTAGACTGTGTTAAAAAAATAAAAGGGAAAAAGAGAGAGACACTGATATATATATTTTGCTAGTCTAGCATCTTGATTATTACACGTGAAATGAATGATGTTACTCTTGGGATTGTTGAGTGATGTAGTTTGGATGATATGAGAGAGGTACAAAAATGGAATTAGTTTCAGTTATAGGCAAGGTCGAAATTTTTAAAGATTCAAAGGCTTGCTATGATGGGTGAAGCCCTCCTATGTGCACAACCGTTAGTTGAGTCGTGACACTACAGAATAGAGTCTACCCAAGCCTAATACTGAGGCTAATAAGGCCAGTGACTAATTTTAACCCCGTTAAACTTAATTGGTTTATGGCAAATCAAAAAGAATTAAGTAGAATATTCATTTGAGTTAAACATATGGTATTTGTCCTATGCATTTTAATGCGCTTGCCTCTTTGTTTAGTACACAATTATTGATCCTGCTGGTATTGGCAACTAATAAGAGCCACCTACATTAAATGTTAGCCTCAATAGACTATTAATTAAAACTTAAATAGATGAGAACTGTAACGAAATAGCAGAAAGTTGAGAGACCTGTTAGAGACTTGTTCCACTCACATGGTATGCTTTTCATGGCAGAGAACTTATTGGCTGAATGGCAACTGGAGCACGTCGTCTACTCGCTCATACGATCTTCTAAGACCATCCAATCTCTGGCATATTGGTGGGAGAAGATGTGGGAGCCTGGGAGGTACCTTCAGTTGACTCCAACCTTTGCAAATGCTCTTACTTGCAATAAGAGGATGATAATGTAGTAGGTAAACTCATGGAACGAACAAGGCTGGTGATTTTTATATTTTCCACTGAAGCTCAAAAAATTTTCTTCTACTGTTTAAAGCCTATCAAGTATGATGATGATTTCTTGGCTTTGGTTTAGATACACTTAGTTAAGAATCTTTTTTTTTTTAATAATGAAATCAAAGTTAGGTGCCTCTGTATCAATTGAATCTTCTAATGCACAAAGAAGTCCTAAGACTGAGACATGATTATTGATTGGGCAGTTATTTAGGTTAATTTTTCTATTAAAGTATAATATATAATGTAAAATGAGAAATTCTTATTTTAGTCCTTGAGTTAATATGTGTTTCTTGTTTTGATCCTAATTTTATTCCACTCAGCTTTTTCTGATCTTTAATTTAATCAAATGTGTGATTTTTGTTAATATTAGTTTTAAAATATGCTAAACACTCTTAAAATATGATTCAATTGCAAATACACCACTTGCATTTTACAATCAAACTCTTACACCCTCTATAATATGAAATCTCACAGAAGTATTAGCTTTGATAATGTTTCAATTATAATAGGATGTTAAGCGTTTAATTTTGAAAAATTTGAGATATATAATTTGTAACTAAGTATTAAAGTAAAATTAAAATTTCAATTAATAAGTTGTTACACAATTAATTTTATGAAATTTAAAAAGGATAAATGTTTTCTGAAACGTATATCTTTCAAACTTCTTAAATAGGAAATAACCACATATTAACAGTAATATATTTTTTGCATTTTAAACATGGAAGCTATTGTAATATTTTATTATATATGAATTTCAGAGTTTATTTGGTTTGATTATTTATTGTTCTGTTTCAAATTAGATGAACTTTCCTTTGTGTAGGATTTTTGTTATATAGGAGTTTTTAAATATTTTTTATTAGAAAAATGGAGATAACATTATTATCATATATATTTTTGTGAGATATCTATAGTATAGAGATGTAAGTGTTTGATTTAAAATAAGCGAAAATATCTAACCACTTATCTAAACCTTAAGTCTTAAATAGGAAATAACCACTTATTTAAACATCAACCAAAATAAGTATTGGATTTAAAATTCAGAGTGTATCCGTATATAATTTTTACTTAAAAAGAAACAGGAAAAACAAAAAATAAGAGAAGCTCCTCTTTTCACTGGCCAGAAATCATCGTAGCGGCAAAATTCATGTGTGATTTTTCAGTGCTTTCTTGGAATGCAAAACTCCATTTGTGAGTTCAATTGAGCTTAAGCCATTAAATATTGAGAACGAAGAAGCAGTAGTTGATGCATCAACTCTCCTTCAACAGTGGTAACAGCAGCAACTTTTCAAGTTAAATACTATCAGGATACATTAGTGCACCAATTGTACTAAGACATGGTACTTCAGGACCAAGAAGCTCTTCATTATTTTCATGAGGTCGGAATGGATCTTTATTTATATCGAATGATATCACAATCATCAGGGTATTTAATGGATGTGCTTTATATATCCATATAGAATTGCTTTAAAATCTTTTCAGTGTATGCTGATTGATGGACAAAAAATTCATCTTTCATATACTAAATTTGTAGATCAAGACAAAATTGTCTTTCCAAGATCTTTCATTCCAAATTCTTTCTTTAAACAGTCTATTGCTTTAGGAAGCTCCTCTGGAGTTCCAATGATATCTAAATCATCAACATAAACGTCGATTATAACAAATTTAGATATTTTTATAAAGACACAAGGACAAAATTAAATCATTCTTGTACCCTTCTTTCAACAGATACTCACTCAGATGATTATACCTCATGCACCCTGATTGTTTCAATCCGTATAAGGATTTTTGAAGCTTTATTTAATAACTTTCTTGGAAACCTTAATATGATTCAGAATAATTTAAATCCCTCAATGATTTCCATTATACACATATCAAATTTTTCATGTATTGCCAGCTTAAAACCTGAAATGACTACATCCACCACAAGAGAGCATGTCTCTATATAATCAATGCCAGGATATTTACAAATCTTCTTGTGACACAAGCTGTCTTTATGTATATCGACTTGACTTTTTTTAGCACAAGAACACATTTATTCCTCCATTGCTTCATACTTTCAGGTGTTGGGACTATCCGTCCAACTTTACATTTTTCAAGTTAAGTCAATTTTTATTACGTATTTTTCATTTGGCCAATCATTTATCTGTCCAAATTGCATGACGGATTTGAGCTCAAGATCCTCGTCAATATTAATAATATTGAGCGCTACATTATATTAACAATATCGTCGACGATTATTTTATGTCGGTTCCATTATTATCCAATAAAGACATAACTTATTGAGATCTCTTTATCTCATTATTTTTAGTTACCTGAGCCTCTCCTATGAGGTCTTGTAAAGTGTTATGTCGTGGTGCTCTTTTAGAGCACTTGCCTCCTTATTATGACCATCTTGATCATTTGCTCCTCTCCTTCTTCAAGGAGTTTTATCTTTGGAACTGATTGGTCTATTGCGCTTTATGCATGCCATAAAATATGTCCATCAGGGACATTATTCTATTTGGAGAATTAGTGTGATGACCTGAAAGGTCATCTTATGTTTTAGAACCCGATTCTACGCTTTTAAACTTTAAACACCTCATTTTATGCCTCCTCGATTTGCCTGTGCAGTCATGGCGTGTTTCTGGAAAGCTTTTATGTTAAAAGTTGATAGAAATAGGAACTTTTTGGCTAAAACTTCATTTGGGTTGACTTCGGCCAATATTTTGGGTAAACAGATGCGGATTTGTGTTTTGATGGTCCCGGTGGGTCCGTGTCGTGATTTGGGACTTGGGAGTATGTCCGGAATCAAATTCGGAAGTCCCTGGCCCGAGATATCGGACTTTGTCAAAATTTGAAAGTTAAAGGCTAATTGAATTTAAAATATTTGATCAATATTTGACTTCTTAGATATCGGGTCCGTATTTTTGTTCCAGAACTCGGTATAGGTACAATATCATATTTATGACTTGTTTGTGAAATTTCATGAGAAACGGAGTTGGTTTGACGTGATTCGAACGTCCGGTTGTGAAATAGAAGTTTCAAAGTTTTCTTGAAAATTTCATTTTATTTGGTGTTAAATTCATAGTTTTAAGTGTTATTTTGGCGATTTGATCGCGCGAGCAAGTTTGTATGATATTTTTAGACTTGTGTGCACTTTTGGTTTAGAGCCCCGAGAGCTCGGGTGAGTTTTGGATAGGCCATGGAGTGAAAATTGGACTTAGAACTCAACTGTTGTTTCAGATTTTTGTTGCAGGCCTCAGACCTCGCATTTGCGAGGTCAATCATCGCATTTGCAACCATTATTTGGTTTGCATTTGCGATCTAATCATCGAAGATGCGAAAAGTAGCTGGGCCACATAGTTTTCATAATTACGAAACATACTTCGCATTTGCGAAGTGAGTCTGGGGAAGGCAGTGATCATGCAATCACTAGGGTCGCAATTGCGAAGGTTCATGTTTGCATTTGTGAACTAATCTTCGCATTTGGGAAGGTAGCAGAGGTGTGAAGGGCTTCGCATTTGCGTGCTTTTCATTTGCAGGCTTCGCATTTGCAAAGTCCAGGTCGCAAATGCGACATTTGCAGCTGGGTAAATATGACTTAGACGAGATTTTTTGTTCATTCTTCTAATTTTCAAAACTTAAAAACCTTAGAGGCGATTTTTCCAAGACTCCTTCTTCCCCAAATCATTGGTAAGTGATTCTAAACTGGTTTCTTTTAATCTTTCACTATTTTTCCTAAGATTTCAACCTAAAATCTAGAGTTTTCATCGTGAAATTGGGGGGTTTTTGGGTAGAAATTAGGGATTTGGTAAATTGGGGATTTAGACCTCAAATTGAGGTTGGTTTCTAAAACAAATCACATAAACAGGCTCGTAGGTGAATGGGTAATCGAGTTTTGGTCTGAATTTCGGGTTTGGACCAAGCGGACCCAAGTGTTGACTTTTGTTGACTTTTTTAATAATGACCTAAATTAGATTCTTTACAATCGTGGGTAGTTTCTAAGGCTTAATTTGAATTGTTTGGTTGGTAAATTGCTTGATTCTATTGGTTTGGAGTCTTTCTTGAAAGGCAAAATGGTGGTTGAGCTTTGAATTTGGTTTTAGAGCGAGGTATGTATCATGGTTAACCTTAACTTGAGGGATTATGACTCATTTGTCTATTTGCTACGTGTTCAGATGTTGGGTGTAACGTATAGGTGAGGTGACGAGTACCTATGCGTTGTTGTCGTGTAGAGCATGTGGGTGGGACTTGGTTTCTTGTAATTATTTCTTTCCTTTGATCATGTTATCCATGTTTAGACAAGTATAATCAAGTTGATCGTTCTTATCATGTTTACGAATCTTTTGGTGATAATTGAATATTGATTTCAAAGTTGAGGTTGGTATTGTTGAACCAAATGTTGAAGTAAGACTTGTTCTTGTTATCTCTATCTCCCTATTGTCTTTTATTCATTGTTTTATGATAAGGGGGAGTGTTAATGCACGAAGGGTGATGCCGTGCCATGTTATGAGAGAGTAAAAGTATGAAAGGTGATTCCGTGCCATATTGTGAGTGTTAATACACAAAGTGTGATGCCATACCATGTTATGGGAGTTAATGCACGAAGGGTGATGTCATGCCATTTCTAGTGATTATATGGTAAGGTTGAAAGTAAAATCACGAAGGGTGATGCCGTACATTTTCCTTTACTGTGTTTACTCGTTCTTATTAGTTTAAGGTATATTGGTTGATCAAGTTCTTATTACTGGTGTAATTCTTTATCTTGTGACCCCTTCAGCATGGCCCCCTCCCGATATTACTTGTCTAGCTTTTACTTGCCATTATGTTGTACATATGTTGTTAAATTGCACAGGTTTATTATGTGGGTGTCTTACCACAGCTTCGTCACTACTTCGTCGAGGTTAGGCTCGACACTTACAAGTATATGGGGTCGGTTGTACTAATACTACACTGCACTTCTGTGCAGATTTTGGTACTGGCCCGAGATGATCGTGAGGTTAGCCGCTGGATTGATTGACCGGAGACCCAAGGTAGATCTGCTGGTGTCCGTAGACCCTTGAGTCTCTCCCTAGTCATAGTGTTTTACTGTTTCTTTTCCTTGAGAATAGTGTATTTCCTTTCAGACTCTGTTTGTAGTTAATCATAGTAGCTCGTAAGTTATGACTCCAGATCCTAAATGTTCCAGATATTTCGGGTTTATGTTATT